AGTAAATCACATTTATCCATATACTTAGTAGAGTTTATAAATAGTTATCATCTTACCAAGGATAGAAGTTAATTTCACCAGTCTGGTTCCAAGAATTACTTACAGCACTTCTTTTGTACATGGAAATTGGGCAACCTGGCAGTCTTTGAGTAGAGCAGCCGTTTCGAATGGTGTGTTAAATGCATTGTCCAGTTCTTGCATATCTGCCTATCAGATATGAAATTGAAAAGGTAGTTACATGTGTTTGAGAAAAAGGTACCATTTAACAGGGCTAAGTGGCTATGCAGACATTTGTTTATTTATTTCAGTTAAATTGTTTGATGCAGTAGTTAAATACAGGTTTTATAGTGGTCTAGTTCCATTTAGGTTCTCAGGCTTGCTATAAATCACTTCTCTATTTGTGTATCATAGAATGGTTTGGATTGGAAGGGACCTTAAAGATCATCTAGTTCCAATCCCCCTGCCATTAGCAGGGACACCTTCCACTAGATCAGGTTGCTCAAAGCCTCATCCAGCCTGGCCTTAAACACTTCCAGGGAGGGGGCATCCACAGCTTCTCTGGGCAACCTGTTCCAGTGTCTGACCACTCTCACAGTGAAGAACTTCTTCCTAATATCTAATCTAAACCTACCCTCTTTCAGCTTAAACCCATTTCCCCTTGTTTTGTCATTAATTGCCCTTATGAAAAGTCCTTCCCCAGCTTTCTTGTAGGCCCCCTTCAGGTATTGGAAGGCTGCTGTAAGATCTCCCCGGATGTATGTGTAAGGAAATTTTCTTAGGTCTGAAGAAAAGTCAGTAGTGTTTAGTTTGTACAGTGTTCTGTGTCCACTTAGACTCATTCTACTGTAAATGAACAAACTTTCATAAAGTGTGAGTGTGGGGTGAAACCAAACTAACTGCTGTATTTCTTGTAGCCAACAACTGTATTTATACTGCTGTTTGTAATTCAGGATGTGAGCATGCTGGATTATGTAGGAATGGCCAGTCTTTTTTGATACTAAGCTGTATGTGACTGGGAGCAACAAAACACACTAATCTCTTGAGTGTTGAGGGGAGGGAATACTTTGGATGTGAATTCGTAACTAGGAAATAAGATACCTTGTTGGGAACAAATATTGTCTGTGTCAGTATTTGTGAGCCCTCTGCCATTTAAACTGTAAACGGGCTGCAATGTGTGCAGAGAAGACCTAGTCAGTGACCAAGATTTTAAAAGGCTAAATTTATCAACAGAAAAAGGTTAATTTTTTTTCCTACTTAATTAAGCATGTTAAGTGAGCTTTTCCAGACTGTCTTTGTGAAAGTTTTACACTTTGTGAACCAAAATGCTATGTGTCTCATGATTCCTTTGGAGGAGAAAAATTATTTCTTCCTCTTTATCTTACTTATTCTCCAGGAACTTTGAACAAAAATTTCATGACAGTGTCCTTAATATTGTTTTCAATATCCTATCTAGAACCAGGCTCAGAAAGTCCTATGGAAGATTCACCTTCAACAGATCGGTTGCGTTTTGACAGGTTTGATATATGTCGGTTGTTAAAACATGGTGCATCTCTTCTTGGATCTGCTGGTGCAGAATTTGAAGTCCAAGATGATAAATCAGGTATATCTTTATATTTTACTGGCAGATAAGGAAACTTACTGATTTGAAAAGTTCGTTGTGGCAGTATTATGAGTATAGTCATGCATGGTTTCTCAGAATGCTAGGAAATAACAGAAGGACTTATTCCTCGATGTAACTGGTTTGTATTATCTTTTTCAAGTTAAATGACTTTTAAGGGGTGCATATTGTTTGTTTTTTCTCTTATCAGAATTAGTATCTGTACAGGGGGGCAAACATATACAGTTGGAAACCTGAAAGAGTGGAAAAAGCAATGTTAAAGACTTCTGTAGAATTTCTGTAGACTTTTTTAAGAGGTGCAGGAACTATCATCACTTTTTCTTAATGAAAAGTGTTCCCAAATATAGTAATAGGATGTGTCTTATTTAAAAGCTTGAAGGTTTGAAGTATAGAAAGATTGCATGAAAAATACTGTGATAAAACTGTTGAAGTTGGAAGGTCAAATGTCAGTGCCTGTGTGATGTGTTTTTTCAGGTGACTTTTCTGGTATCTTTCTGCAGCTTTTAGCTGAGAGTTGGTTTATATCAGTGCAATGGCATTGAATGATTTTAATCTAAGATTATTTTTTTTTTTGCTATTGCTGTACTCTCCTGCTGTAATTCCAGTCTATCTTCTAGTTTCTGCAACAAATGAAATGTTGCTATAGATAAGAATCTGCTCTGACTGCATAGCCCTGATTCACTTGTTCCCTGCGTGTGATGCATTCTGTGCAGTGTACACAGAAGATCACTAACTCAGCAAGGAACAGAACCTATGGCTCCTGACACTTAAACAGTATCCTGTCTGTTAAGCCTTGCTGCTGTTTTATTGCTTGCCATCTTTTGTGCCAGGTTAATAAGGTGTTGTACAAATTTCATTTCTTCTAATGAAGTGTTTCCTGTTCAGAAATCAAATAGATGGAGTAGGACACTTTAGTTCATAGAAGTCAGATATTTATCCCAATGTCTTATGATGGCATATAAATAATTTTATTAATGAAAATAAATAAAAAAATAATATTTTAAAAAAGAAAATTAAACTAAAAATAGCTTTAGTTGCAGCTTTTTTTAACTGATGGGAAAAATGTACAAAGGCTGCTTTCTTTGCTGCATTTTGTAGCAACTGTCCTTTTCAAGTAAGTAGCCAACGTGAATGGATGTAAAGCAAGTTAAATCTTTGGAATTAGCAGTCTTTGATACTTTTTGCTAAGGTGAACTTGTAAAAGGAAAATATTTTCTAGAGAATTGAAGTTGTTTTTATTTTTCTGCTTGTCAGTTAAATGCAATTAAAAAAAAGGCTGATGGATATAGAAATAATTAACTGCTAATTACTGCTCAACCTGGTGTATACCCCAGTGTTCTGCCAATATTGGTCCTACTTACAAGTGTATGGGCAGATATTTGACAAAAAAACCCCAGCCTCCTGACTGGTTTCCATGCTGCACATGTAAAAAGAGAGTGAAGTCTGACAGGCCTACAAACTACTAGTTTTGGTTTACTTTGAGTGTTTATTCTACTTGGGCACTAAAACCTTCTGGTTTTTAATGTAAATATGGGTGCTCTCAAAGTCTAGGTATTTGGTAATTAAAGTGCCGAAGCTTCATAACCGTCTTGAGATAACTTCAATTAACTTCCTAAATGAGTTTTGCTTAACACATGAAGCTTGAGGATAAGATGGTTAATGGACTCCAGCACACTAGGAAAATCATGCCGATGATTCAGCCTGCATTGCCATCAGGAGTTCATTTGGGCAGAAGGAAAGGAGATATCTGGGTCTGTTGCATTGTACAAGGAAGAATGTTTCTGAAGAAAACAACTTCATATTCAGCCTAGCGTAATACAGGATATTGGATTAAATGTCATTTGAGGGGTTTTATTGGTCATTAAATCTTAGGTCTGTGTTTCCCAGCAGAAGATAAAGTTTAGGAGGAAAAGAAACTTTAAACAAAACCAAAACAACAAAAAACACCACCCCAAAACAAAACAACAAAAAAAACCCCACCCCACCAAACCCAAAAACACAGTCTACCAACCTCAAGAGATCCCACAAGGATGTATGTGCTCAATAAAAGTGCTAGTTTTTTAATCAGTTGCTGGATTTATTTTTAATGTCTTGATTTGCTCCTTTCAAAGTGCACTTTTCCTAAAAATTCAGAGAAGATGGGTTTTTTACTTCTGTAGACCAAATGTAATTTAATTAATTTCATGGGAGGTATTTTCTGCTTTAAAATTGATGACAGTTTATGTACTAGTATAGCTTCAGCAGTAGAAAAGGTCTTCCTAGTAATCAGTGTGATTTGGTTTAAAAGATTGTATTGATATATTAGCCAATATATTACAATTTAATTCTTTAACTTTTGGCTTTCTTATGTTATTTCACTAAGCACATCTTCCCTTTTTTAAAAACTTTTTTTAAGGTGAAATTGATCCTAAAGAGAGGATAGCTCGACAGAGGAAACTGTTACAAAAGAAACTTGGCTTAGATATGGGTGCTGCCATTGGGATGAATACTGAAGATCTCTTCAATGATGAGGATCTGGACTATTCGCCTTCTTCAGTTTCACTAGTAAACAAACAACCTGTAGGTAAAACCTTGAGCTGTTTGACTGCAAGGAATAATACAGTGGGTTTGCTTTATTTCATAGAATCATTTAGGTTGGAAAAGACCCTTAAGATCATAGAGTCCAGCTGTTAACCTAACACTGCCGATTCTACCAAATTTGTGCTTCTGCAGTTATAATCTTTGTAGTTTAAGTATGATGATCAACGTCTAATATAGTAAGCTTTGGCTTCCTGAATTTTATGCCTCATAGTTCCATGTTAATGTTATTTGATGTCAAACTGTTGCTCTGAGTTTGAAATGGAGGGAGGGTTGGGGAAGTTGAGAGCAATGTGGGTTTGAGGATTTTTCAGGACCTTCATTGGAGGAAGAATTGACAATGAATGACTTCTCTTTCAGACTCTTCAAGCTGCTGAGTTAATTGACTCAGAATTTCGAGCTGGTATGAGCAGTAGACAAAAGAATAAAGCCAAAAGAATGGCTAAGCTATTTGCAAAGCAAAGATCCAGGGATGCAGTGGAAGCTAATGAAAAGAGGTATAATAGTGAACTGGTTTGCTTTTATTTCAGTTAAACTGGGATTGTGATTTATCTGTTGAAAAACTTTCTACAGTCTTTGTCTTAATCTTTTTATGCTAATTGTGCTGATGGTAAAACACTTGTGTGCTGTACTTCTAATAGAGCTTTGTTAAGGACCTAGCTTCAGAGGGATCTTGATATAATGGGATGCTACAGCTAGAATTTGTGGTTTGTCTCTATTATTAAATACAGTTTGAGAATAGTGCATGAAAATGCAGGATTTAAGAAGATAAACCATGACTACAAATTTAAGTTATAACTTTCTCTTATGTGCTGTCTTCCTTGCTGATTTTTAGAGACACATTATTGTACTTATTGTGTTTATAACAAGCAGTAAACAAAATTGTTTCCTTGATTTTATTTAAGAATTTCTGTATTTCTTGAAAAGGCTGAGAAGGATTGCCAGTTTGGGACAACATTCTGCTGTCTCCTCACATATTTTTTTAATTTTTTTTTTTTACCTCTAAACTTAGCTATTTTGCATGTTTCACAGTGTTAAACATTTTTGTTTTGTATTCTTGCCACACTTTATTGTATCTGAGACTTCAGGTGTAGAAGTAATTACTTCCTCTAACGCATACTTTCAGTTCATAAACTTATACTTATTCTTTCTCAGCAATGATAGCACTGATGGGGAACCAGAAGAAAAGAGAAGAAAAGTTGCAAATGTTGTCATCAACCAGCCTGCCACAGACTCAAAAACATTGGTCGAAAATGCTCCAGAAGAGGTATGATGTATTATTCTGCTGTTGGCAGGAATGATCATTCAGTTTTTTAGCAGAGTAATGTAAAACAAAACTGCTTTACGCTCCCAGATTCTTTAGTCAGTTTAACATTAAGAGAAATGGAGTAAAGAATGCCATTGTCAGCTTATTTTTAGATGTAGTGAAGCACATGAGCTTCAAACTGTGTATAGCATTGAGGAAGAAAACATGTTTAATCCATTGGTAGCAGTTTGTGACCCAAATGAACCTGAGTAGGTGGATTACAGGTGTCAGACCTGGGTATTAAACTATAAAACTGTGCTAAACACTTATAAGATAGGATTACACTGAGCCAGAAATAATTTGATCTAAATGTTCATGTACACTTTATTTATTCTTTGCCTCACTTTAATTAGGCTTAATTTAGAATTAAGTTATATCTTTAGTAGTTGAAGATTTAAACAATTACCTTAGTCTTAGAAAAGCTTGCATTTGCTTCAATAGACTGAGAAGCTGAAAAATGGCAAGAAATGCTATTTCAGAATACAAATGGTACATAGAATTTTCTTTGAAGAGACTTTATATTGATTAGACTCTACAAAAATATTTTTCCAAACATAACTTAGTAATGAAATTCTTATTTACAAAACAGTGATTGGAAGATGAATTTGAGAGATTATTGATAACTGGAGGCTCAGTAGCTGCTGGTTGCTAGCCTTTCAAATGCTTTATGTTTGTGATGGTGTGAACTTACTCATGTTGGTGTCATAATTTCCTTTCCACAGCCATGTCAGTTTCCTTGTAGGAAATTTTGGGATAGTGGATATGCTTCTGGTTTTCAAAAATGTGGAATGTGTTTTGAAAAGGATGGTATTTATTACTGGATTAATTGACCCAATTTGATTATGTAGTATAACTTCAAACTGAGACTTGCCTATTATGTTCTTTAAAGGCAAAGTTCATAAATGTAAAGAATCACTGAGGAAGATTACTAACAAACAGACTAACTAGCAAGCAAAACTTAATAAGCTTTTTAGAGGATCTGGTGCCAATCAGCAAAGCTTCTGATATGTGGAAGAAGGTGGTTTGTTTTTTTCAATTCTGTCTAGTAGCAAAGAAAAATGCTTAAGCTTTTGGAGGTCTTTGTTATCTTCGCCTATCTAAGTGGTGTACAATATAAGTGTTTGCTTGATCCCTTTCTCTTTTAATATCTTAATATTTTTTTTATAAATTCAGGCAAATGAATGGCCTCTGGAAAGCTTTTGTGAAGAGGTGTGCAATGATCTGTTTAACCCTTCTTGGGAGGTAAGATATGTGCAGTATCTAAGGTGTAACTATAGTTTAAAAAAAGGCTTTAACAGAAGCACAAAAACTGTATGTGTAGGACTTAAGAGCTTTATAAGTGAGAATTCTGGAAGTACTGAAATTCAGACAAAATAAAAGCACGTGTATCTATGGTCCAGAAGGTTAAGCAATTAAAACAGACTTGGATTCAGCAAGAGTTTGAGGAATATTGTGTAAGTCTGTGGTGACAGCAGTGGCATGTTTGTCTAATGCTAGGTTAGTAGAAAAGGGGGAAGAATCAGTCCTTTAGAAACAGGGGGTAAGCTATAAATCATTGGTTGCTCTCTTCATTTCTAAAAAGGAACTTTTAACTTTTTTTAGAATGATAGTAAATACCAGCTATGAAAACCATGTATTTGGTTGCCTAGGCAACTTATTTTCAAGATTCAAAACCTGTTCAGCTCACCCTTTTATTCAGTCCTTATACTGTTTTCCACAAACTTTGGTATCGATTCCAAGCAAAAATATGAAGTAGCTAACAATGGTCTCTCTTCCTTGAGCAGAAGATGGAAATAACTCTTGTCAATTGTCAGGTTTTTTTGATGAAAATGTTGATCTTTTGAAAGATTAAATGTTAACACCAACTATAACATACTTAGGTATATCTACAGCACAGTTTCAGTGATAGCGCACTGGCTCTGCCCGTACTGACCTCAAACTTGGAAATACAGAGAGAGAGATCATATGCAGCCAGCACAATTATTTTGGGCCCAGAAAAAGAATAATCACATTCATGTGGCACATCACTGCATCTGAGCTGATAAGCCTCACGTTATTTGAAAGCAGGCTGCTTACAGTTGAAGCCAGAGTCCTCTTGTCTTCTGAAACATAGACATTCTCATAGCTCTCTTAGTACATTTGATATAGGGCACACGTGTCTTAAATAAGGAAGTAGATCAATACAGAATCATTATTATGGTATGTTCTGGATGAAAAACAGGTTAAACTACCTCAAACTACTACATGTTTATAAAATGGCCCTCTGGCGTCCTCTTGCATTGTGATGAGGCAGCCTGGATGACTAGTTCAGACTGCTTGCCTAGCTTATAGGCAGCTGAAGGTCAGGCAAGATGAATCCTACTACTGGTATTTCCTTCAAATATTTGTCTGTCTTGCTGTTGTTCTGTATTTGCTGAAGCAGAGAAGTTAACTAGCAAAGTCTTCCTCTTCTGGCTTGTAAAAGCTAGCTCATAACCAATCTTGGACCAAATAAGCAAATGCTTGGTTTATTTTGAACAATTAGGATTTTAAGACAGTGCGCTCTGCTTTTTATTGGCTTGATTATAGCTTTTACCAACAGCCACTGAGCTGTACGTATGGGGATGTGTATGCTTGCATTTCATCTGAGGTATTCTGGTTAAGGGAGGACCTACCAACTACTCAGTTCTTGTTGTTGCTATGAAGAAATGAAATACAATAATCTTCTGCTGGCAAACAGCATGTATGTGAAATGGTCTTATTAAAAAAAAAAAGTCCTCCTCTAACCTAGGTAGAGGCCTCTCAATGAAAACCCAGTTCAAAACTTCCCTTTTGCAACTTTCTGTGTATCTATTGAGTGACCTTTTCATGATTAGCCAATTACTAGCACAGTTATGTATCAAAATTACAAGAAACAGGTGTGTCTGTAGCACATCTTTCTGCTGGTCTTCTGTCATTTCCAAAACTCTTCCTAGTGTCTTCAGCTGTTCATGTTCGATGGGAACATACAAGAGACTAATAATTTACTTTCCCATATCACTCGTCCACTTATTTTTTAACATTTAGCCAAGCAAGGCAGGTTTGCAAGTTATGCAGAACAGTAATTCTTAGAAATTAATTTTGCAGATCCCAGAATATTCAGTGGGGATCCAAACTCTGTTTAAGAAAGAGTTGTAAAAAAATATGAATATAATATAGAATATAAAGATAAAGTGTTTAAGAAATATTAGAATATTGCTTTTCTTTAGCTTATAAACATACTAAAACAGGAATTTCTTCTAGTTGCTCTTTCTCTGAAAACTAGCATCTTATAGTGAGGTAATACTAAATGAAAACTGGAAGTGCCTTTAAACTGAAAGACGGTAGGTTTAGATTAGATATTAGGAATAAATTCTTTACTGTGAGGGTGGTCAGACACTGGAACAGGTTGCCCAAGGAAGTTGTGGCTGCCCCCTCCCTGGAAGTGTTTAAGGCCAGGCTGGATGAGGCTTTGAGCAACCTGATCTAGTGGAAGGTGTCCCTGCTGATGGCAGGGGGGTTGGAACTGGATGATCTTTAAGGTCCCTTCCAACTCTAACCATTCTATGATTCTGTCACTTCAAATATGATAACATTATCTTCTGTGTTAGAAAATAGAAGCAATTCATAATTGCTTCTGTCCATAAGCTGGCAGATACTTAAGAAAAAAACAGGGTGGTTTTGGACAGGTTAGTATTTAAGTATATGATTTGATCTAATAAAATATTAGTCTTTCCCACAAGTCTAAGTACCGCTAACTCTGCAGCACTTGAAAAGTCTCTATTAAGGATAAAGAAGTACTATTTCAGTTACCCAGTGTGATTTTTATCTTCTGTTTCTAGATATTTAAAAATTGGCTTATTTTACTTTTCTAGGTTCGACATGGTGCAGGTACTGGACTGAGAGAGATACTTAAAGCTCATGGTAAAAGTGGTGGTAAAATGGGAGATAGCTCTTTAGAAGAGGTAAGTTTGAGTCAGGTAGACTTAACATGTTACTTAAATGAAGTTTAGAAAACAGACTTAGAGCTTTGCAGGAGGTGGGTGATTTGACGAAACGTAAACAATGGGATTTGTCTGCTCAGAATAATCTGGATGGAATAATTGTATGCACTGATAAAACATTTACATTCTCTTTTTAAAAGACCTGTGCAAAAAACCATTTCTACTGTATAAGCAGACATTAATATGTAGACTGTGTGTAAAGTTATTAAACACTAGCTTCCATACTAGAAAATACTATTTTCAGGTCATGGTAAGAGTGTGCTGAAACAGAATTAAGTTGATAATGAATCTAGTGAAGTGTCTCAGACCATCTAGTTCTCTTTGCTTAATAGTTAGTGATCTTCTTGCTTTCTTAGTATGAGAAGTATTTAAATAACCTATTTAGGAGGAAAACACCTTTAAAAAATATCCTGACAGTAATAACTTGTTTACTTATAGTGAATCTCACAGAGTTGACACTGACTTCCCTGCTGTAAAAGCAGCTGGGAGAGCTTGTGGCTTAGACAGTATTGAAGAATTTACGTTATCAAATGTAAATCAAGCTACTTCAGTGTACTTTGTATACAGGGAAAGCAAAGGTGCTATCTCTCCTTCTTTCCATGTGGAGTAGTATTTTTTCCATGGAGATCTCAAAGTAAGGAGATCTCAAAGTAATAATAACACACACTGTTACTATTACAGGGCCTCCCACAATGGAGAAGTACTGCTTCGTAGTTTATTTGTAAATATTCTTCAAATGTATTAATTGACTTGCCTACGATGTGTTGATGTTAATACAGATTATCTGAATCACCTTACCTTTGAGTGCTCTATAGGGATAAAATTATCTGTCTATCTTACAAGGTGCTCTCTAGCCTTTTGATAAAGTTACTGTGTTTTCTTTTTTTAAAATAAAAAATGTTTTTAAGAAGTCAGGTGAGCTGAATTAGTGCTGACTATTTTTGCCTTGACTCTCTGTGCAAGATGATTATATTCTGTCCATTTAAACAAATGTTGTCATATCTTTATATAAATTTTAGCTAAAGCAAGCATATCAGAAATCCTTACGAGTAAATATAGTCAAGGTGTTCAATTTTTCTCTTTTTAACAGATGATTCAGCAGCATCAGGAGTGGCTAGAAGACTTGGTTATTAGACTTCTTTGTGTGTTTGCATTAGACAGATTTGGAGACTTTGTTTCAGATGAAGTAAGTTGTCTCGATGAGTGAAAAGGTAGATCAGCAGGCTTCTGCAGGGGATAATACTGCAGCAGATCAGCTGTGCTTTGTACAGTGCTACTGAATGTGCCTGTTGTAAATGCTCGCAGATGCTTATTACAAAGTAACTGATAAATAAATTTCACCTTGTTTGTATAGCACTTTTGGTCATCTGACTCATACTGGGTTTTTTGAGTCAAATTTCATACAGAAATATCTGTTTTATCATTTACTTTATCCTAGGTGGTAGCACCAGTACGTGAGACTTGTGCTCAGACTTTGGGAGTAGTATTGAAACACATGAATGAGACTGGAGTTCATAAAACTGTGGACGTTCTCCTGAAGCTGCTTACACAGGAACAGTGGGAAGTGAGACATGGTGGTCTCCTAGGAATAAAGTACGCTTTGGCAGTACGTCAGGTAATAACCCGCATGACAGATTGCAGAGAGCTTTGGAACAAAAAGCTCTGCACGAAGTTGAGGATGTTGCTGAATGGTAGATAAGTACGATAAAGCAACCTTGCTTGCACTGCAGCCTCATGTGGGTTATAAGGCCATAGAATGGTTAGGATTGGAAGGGACCTTAAAGATCATCTAGTTCCAACTCCCCTGCTGCGGACAGGTTTGCCAACCACTAGATCAGGCTCCCCAGGGCCCCATCCAACCTGGCCTTGAATGCCTCCAGGGATGGGGCATCTATAGCTTCTCTGGGCAACTTGTTGCAGTGCCTCACCACCCTCTGGGTGAAAAATTTCCTCTTAATATCTAACCTAAATCTCCCCTCTCTTAGTTTAAGACTATTTCCCCATGTCCTATCACTATCTGCCCATGTAAAAAGTCACTCTCCCTCCTATTTATAAGTTCTCTTCGAGTACTGAAAGGCCACAATGAGGTCTCCCCAGAGCTTTCTCTTCTCCATGCTGAACAAGCCCAGCTCCCTCAACCTTTCCTCATAAGAGAGGTGCTTCAACTCTCTGATTATCATTGTGGCTCTCCTCTAGACCTGCTCCAACAGTATATAGCAAAGTTGTACTGCTGCAATTTGATAAGTTACGTCCACAAAACATTATAAATAGAGGCTATACTTGCCTGGTTTTGATGATACTTTCTGGTTTTGATGATACTTTCATGTGCAAGATAAACAGAGCTGAGTGCTGCAAGAGGTTTAGTCTATTCATGGTATTTTGCAAACACTGAGCTGTGTTTACACCAAAACTGAACTGAATTACAGTTCATTCAAACTTATAACCTAGGTTTTACTTCATGAATGGTAACTAACAATATTTAGATTATAGTCTTGGACCTGTAGCTTCTGTTTTATATAACAGGTTTATTCACGCACTCAGAGTACCTCTTAGTTGTTTGGGGCATTACATGCTTTTGAAGTTTAAAAATGCTTTTTATCTTTTTGGCAGGACATGATCAACACTTTATTGCCTAAAGTGTTGCCTGCAATAGTTGAAGGTCTCCAAGATCTGGATGATGACGTCCGAGCTGTTGCTGCAGCATCTTTAGTACCAGTGGTGGAAAGCCTGGTCCAACTTCAGTCTCAGAAGGTGACTGAATTGCTTTCCATCAATTCTGATTGAAAAATTCACTTTTGGTCCAAGTGAAGAAAATGCTTAGAGGCAGTACTTGGATTTTTTTTTTTTTTTTTTAGTAGTAGTGGTATTTATTTATTACGATAACCTCTTCTCCTTATTTGTGTAGGTACCCTTTATTCTTAATACCTTGTGGGATGCACTTCTGGAGTTGGATGACTTGACAGCTTCTACAAATAGTATCATGATCCTTCTTTCTTCTCTTCTGACTTATCCTCAGGTCCGCAAATGCAGGTAACTTTTTAATTAGTATTGCTTCAGTATTGCAGGTTTGACTGTCCTGTTATTTTCAAATTGGAATAATTGAAGTTGCTTTCAAATTAATGTGCCATGAAGATGCTTGATTTAATTCAGTATTTTAATTTTACTCTTTCTTTTCCTTAAAGTGAAGGCTAGGACAACACTTCTGTTTTCATTACATTAGTAAAAGGCAACAAAACAATTAAAAGGTACTAGACATTGTTTATATGTGACGTCCCTTCCCCCTGTTCATCTTGGGTATTTTAGTAAAGGATATGAGCTCTGCTCATAGGGTGGTGCTGTCCACAAACTTCTTGGGTGTCTGCTCCTTGTCAACAAACTCCAAACAAGAGCAGACTATGTACATTAAAACACATGCATGTAACTGTAGAACTTTACTATTGGAACTGTTCTAAAGAAAGCTACAGACTTGAAAATTCACATCAATAGTACAACCAGTAGTTCTGTGACTGGTTGAAGACAGTGCCTAGTTCCTCTCTGTTTGGGACTCTGTCAGATTAAAGGAATTATTTTCGTATGTTAACATTTTTCATAATATATATGGTAGACTCACAGTATCTGCTTTATACATCTTATCTTTCTCATCCTATATGATTGTCACTGTTGAAGCTGTTTTTTGCCCAAACCCAAAATTAAGAGTGAAGTTTAGTCGCTAGTGCCATCTTTAATTCAGCATGTACAACTTTGCATCAGTTCACATGCAAATTCATGCACAAAAGATCCAAGCTTGTTTTTAATTATTTCTAAACCCATAAACGCCTAGTAATAAATTCAAAACAAAATAAAAAAACCTCTTTTTTCTAAGTAGTTGGACAAAGCCCAGAGTATAATCTGGGAAACAACATAAGAATACGTGCTTGAATCAACTGGTTCTTCATACCAATAAGAAAAAACAGTATTTGTCTGAAAAAAGACACTGACTCGAACTATTTTAGCTGTTTAAGCTGTAGTAACTTGACCCTTTGCTTAAAATCACCAAGTGTGTGCAATAACACTTTTATTTTTTAAAAAGCTTTATTTTGGATAGAACTTTAACTGAGGATAAACAAAATTAACTTGGCTGTGTGTCTTTGTTTTCTTTTCCCTGTCCCTGCCTCTGCATCTCCCCTTTGTGTACTAGTATTCAGCAATCACTCACAGTTTTGGTCCCACGTGTGTGGCCATTCTTGCATCATACCATATCTTCTGTGCGAAAAGCAGCACTGGAAACATTATTCACACTGCTGTCTACCCAAGACCAGGTAAGAATTAGAATTATTAGTGTTTTACTATGATAAGTATTGGAATCTGCTTCACTGTGTAATATCCTCATTTCAGAGCTCTTCAGCATGGCTGACTCCAATTCTGCAAGACATGTTGAGGCACATATTTCAGTTTTGTATCTTAGAAAGCAACCAAGAAATTCTGGATCTTATTCACAAGGTATTTGCATGACTTGTGACCTGGACATACAGTGTTTGTGTATCTTGCTCTTTCGTATCCTCTGTGTTTTTGTGCAGATAGTGTGTTCTTGTTAATTATTTGTAGTTAGCCTATTTGATGCTTTACTATAGAGTGAAGGAGAGTAGGATGGTACCTACAGGTTATCAAGCATATATTGTCTTTTGTAAACCACATACAAATTTGTCATGATTTCCACTATGGTTCTTTCCCAAGGTATGGCTGGAACTGTTAAACAAAGCATCTGTACAGTATGTGGTTGCAGCTGCTTGTCCATGGATGGGAGCCTGGCTTTGCTTAATGATGCAACCATCTCACTTGCCCATTGACTTAAACATGTTGCTAGAAGTGAAAACCAGATCAAAAGTAAGTGAAATGTGACCTCACTAACTGTTCTAGGGACAGTAGGAAATTGATTAGCTGTGTATAAAGACATGTTCTAAAGGTGTTAGAGGGGAGTAGTGGTGCCCTTCTACAACTCTAAATTTAATCTGTCTTACAAACCTCAATTCTATAGAGCAAAAGAGTTCTTCTCAGGTTGTCCATGAGAATTCTAAGTTCTGTCATGTAGTGTGCTCCTTGTGAATAAAATCTTTATTTACATGGTTCCGTAACCATCATGGTTCCAAAACCATCTGTTTGCAGGACTGAGTTAAGTCTAAAAGTATTGTATTATTTCTGAAAACATACTGAAAGAGGTTTCATCTTTCATTGGACTCAGTTTATCAGTTTTGTGTTGACTATTGGTTTTAATATTATAGTGAAGGAACTATATAATACATTTAATAGGACCATAGAATATTACTAGTGGAGAGATGATTTACAAAGATCAACTTTTAAGTCATCTGTTATCCAAGAAACGTTCTGGCTTAGTCCAGCTTTTGCAGAGTATGATGGTTATTGGAAATGATATGAAATATTAATTCATCTTTTCTATTACAAGCACATTTACTTTCAACCTCTCCCAACTTCATTCCACAGGAAAAAGCAGGTGCTAAACTGCGTCAAGGTCAAACCCAGAATAAGGAAGTGATTCAGGAATATATTGCTGGGGCAGAAAGCGTTGCAGAAGATCCAGCAACCAGGGATTATGTTGTCATGCGAGCTCGGATGATGGCAGCAAAGTCAGTATACTAGAAACCTGAAAAAAATATTTAAAAGCAATTTATCTTTCATTTATATAGTGTTTTTGCCAAAATCTAATAATCTAATTATGTAGACTTTTGGCATCTTCTTTTTTTTTTTTCTTTTTAATTAATTGCAGAGTAATTGTAACATTGAAGTGACTGTTCCATCTCCTTTTGTCAGGTTGTTGGGAGCACTTTGTTGCTGCATTTGTGACCCAGGTGTGAATACTGTTACTCAAGAAATAAAGCCAGCTGAATCATTAGCTCAGCTACTGCTCTTCCACTTGAATTCTAAATCTGCCTTGCAGAGGATTAGTGTTGCATTAGTAATCTGTGAGTGGGCAGCCTTGCAAAAGGTAGGATGTTTCTGCAGCAAAAATAAATTTTACTTACTATCTCAGTCCACAGCTTGTCGTCTGCTACTTAGCTGCTGAAATGAAATATCAGTTGATAGGCTAAAATGGTATTTATACGTCTAAACACTAAAATCTTACTTGTTAGACAGTGGAGGAATACATTACTCAGTAGCTAAAATCCAACTGTCAGAACTATGAATCAGTAAATATGTTCACATTTCTTCTACAAATAAGTCTGTTCTCAAGATACACGTTACCTCAAATTAGCATGATTGTCTTCTTTGTATTCACTGTCACTTCTGTTCTAGTGGCAGACTGAAGGTTTTTTTCATAATGTTTAATTCTGGGCTACAAATGTTAATGGTCCCTCTGGAAACTGGATTTTTGTAGCTAGATGGTGCTGTTTAGTGCCCAAAACTGAACAAAGAAATTGTGATTACTCAGAAATGCAAATCTTATCTCTTACTGTTATAGGAGTGTAGAACTGTGGCCATTTGTGTGCAACCTCGTTTACTTGGGGTCCTTTCTGAACATCTCTATTACGATGAAATTGCTGTTCCTTTTACACGAATGCAGAATGAATGTAAACAACTCATCTCATTGTTGTCTGATGCACACATTGACATTGGAAACAGAGTAAACTGCAGTGTATTTACAATAGATCAAGCTAATGAGCTGGTAAGTAGAAGCACGCTTGTCTTCCTTGAAATTTATTCTTGTCTTGAAATACATCTTCAGCAAAACTATTACACAGACATAACTTGTAGAAATAATGTGGTGACTTTACACATCTTTTGGCATGAGATATGTAATAGATACTTATCACTTCCCCTGTGGTGCTTACAGACTGCCAAAAATAAAGTAGAATGCAAGGTAGATATTTAACAGGAGAAAAATTTGACAGTGTTCTGATTTCAGGTATAGATTCGCTATTGAAATCTATCCAGAAGAAAATAAAGCATACTGGAACTCCTCCAAAACTACTGTCAAAAGGCTAGAAAATAAGCTATGTAAATTCTAGACTTTCTCTTCCCCCTGCCCCCAAGTGTGTTAAAGTGTTTTTTTTCTGACTGTTCAATTGTTTTGTCTCTTTTAATCTGAAAACGTCACTGTTAAATGTGCTTAAATGTGCTAATAAAAGGTAGCTCTTGACATGAAGAAGCTCTGTAAGTGCTGATAATGTTGGGGCAACAAATGTAAAGGTTTTTCTTCCAACCCCTAATTGGCCTCTTAAGCAGAGAGAAATATGAGTACCGGCAGATGGGGTACGATGTAAATGAAGAGCTTGTGGATTTGAGAGACTGCAAAATAAAAGGGGACTGGGGTGGGAGCTGTGTGTAGATCTGAGGGGATGAAGGAATGGTGATGGATGTGGTACAGCTTGGGGTGGGGCAGGAGGAGGGATTAGGATCCTGGATGTGTTTGCGTATGCAGCTGTGATGCTGAGGATAAGAGAAGATTTAAGTTTGTACAGTTATGGCCATCATGACTGTAGCATAATGGATCTTGAAATTCTCAAATGGTAGTATTTACATAGTAATGTGCAGTAGCTTAACTTGGAAATCTCAACATATCTTCAAAGTTGTAGACAATTTTGTGTATTTTCATGAAGTACAGACACCAAACCTACTCTGCATTTTCGCAAGAGTCTTCATGCATTAGATGTAAAAACCCTGTGCTTCTCCTTGCTATTTATATTTTTTTGCATCCTTTGGTCATTCCCATCATCAAGGTCATGTGGAGTACAACTTGAGGTATCCATAGAATGAATCAGTACAGTTCTGATTCACAGAATCAGAATCACAGAATTTCCTCTATTGGAAAAAAAACTGTAAGATTATCAAAAGTTGAAAGACTTGACCTGAACATTTAAAAGTAAAAGGCAAAACCCAACAAAAAATCCACTCAAGCTAACCCTCTCAACAACTGTCCTCTTTTCCATACTTAGGAACCGAACTATATCCTATCAGTGCAATAAGTTCAGCATTTCTATGATTCCATGTTGCCTTTAGTCTATTTCCTGTGAAAGATTTAAGCAACAGTAGTCAGCCAATTGTGAGTGGGGGAGGACATGGCAACTACTGTTATGCTGACTTTTTCCTTAGATTTTTATCTCAGTCTCTTTCCTGAAAATACAGTGAGCTTAGAAAGGACTTCTTCATGTATGGTACCTTGCACATCCTTTCTGCCCTATTGTATTTGTAGCATATTCTCCTTTGCTTATCCGTCATGTGCTTACATATTGCCAGAATGTCTGGATATATGTGGTGGATACAGGACAATCTAAATTTGAAGGAGTACGTAAACTCTTGTAGCTTTGGGAATCTAGACTTTAAATGTTCCATAATGTGCCTGATTTTCCCCTTGAGCTGCAGTTCAAGATTCCAGAAATTACATTTTAGAGAATTTCCTGCTATTTCCTTGAAAAATTGAGATGATAATACCTGATGAAGTGACTCATGTTCTGCTATGAAAACCATGATTTTCAGAGGATATCTTGTTTTACAGTATATGAATCAGACTTGTAACTCTTTCTTCCTTTTTATTAGGTTACTTCTGTTTTCAATGAAGTGACGTCATCCTTTACTTTGAATCCTAAAATTCTGCAACAGTTGGACAGTAAACGACAACAAGTCCAAATTACTGTTACAGAAACAAATCAAGAATGGCAAGTGTTGCATCTGCGAGTCCATACGTTTGCTGCATGTGCAATTGTGAACTTGCAGCAGCTTCCAGAAAAACTAAATCCTGTTATAAAACCCTTAATGGAAGCTATAAAAAAAGAGGAAAATACACTTGTACAAAACTATGTGGCTTCGTGTATAGCAAAATTACTTCAGCAGTGTACAACAAGGTCTCCTTGTCCCAACTCAAAGATTATAAAAAATCTCTGCAACTCTCTCTGTGTGGATCCACATCTTACCCCACTGGCAACATGTCCTGCACAGCCTCAGACTAGCCATGAAAACTCAAAAGGTATGATATCCGAGAATGCCAGAATTCTTAAAATATGTCTGTTGTCTCTGAACAGTTAAAATGAGTGTTTGAGTGAGTCTTGTTTTCAGTTTTTTAATATGCCAGCAACTGAGTCTTCATTTACTAGTAATTATGTCATTTAGGTATCTTAAACTACATACTGTGTGCAATTAATGATGTGTGTAGTTTTCAGAAACTTTTATGTATACAAAGACCTTTGTTCCAATTTTCAGTTATTTACTGTTCAGTTATTATCCACTTATGATCATATTTCATTTACTTGCATTATTAAGCTTTTCATTTAAATTGAATCAGTGTGGAAGTTAGAGCAGCCTGTTAGGAAAAAAGTCTGACTTGTGTTATGCTCCATAAGCTAATAGTAAGATAACAAAAGATGAGGACAGTGTTCAAAATGAACAAATAATCCTGTGCGTGCTCTGCTAATGGATTTTCTTTAAATGACTGTACCTTGCTAAAAATGGATGGATTGAATGAACAACACAAATTAAGACCTTCATACTCTCAAAGATTCTAACCTGCTTTAAGGTTTGACCATTATACATTTTACTTTTTCTTAATTAATGTGTCCTATTTTATCTCAGAGTAGAATAGCATTCATATCTCATTGAAAATTAAGCTGATTAGCATAAATAGAAACATCAACAAATCCAAAGATACTGATCGCATCTGCTATTGCATCATGACAGAAGTCTTGCACTGTTTGTAAAGGACACAGAACATAAGCTTGTTTAAACTTGAGAACATCATGTGGTTTTTTTACTATTAAAAAGTGTGCAAACTTTTTATATTTGACAGGAGCTTTGTTACCTGTATTTCTTGCTGAATAAGAATTTATGTGGCAGTTTGCACACTTGGATTCTTGCCAAGTCTGTAATGTGCTCTTAACAGAGTAACTGTACTCTGTACTAAAATTTTTCCATCCTTGAGGATGATGGCACTTAATGTTTTGTTTTTTTTTTTTTTCTTTAAAGCACTTTGACATCTGCATGTGACTTGCAGGCAGCTGTCACTTCCACCTACATTTTAAACTGCAGCTTAAATTGTTGTCAGCTGTTGTTTCTTTTCCTTTAGGTTCAAACTCTGATAAAGATGGGATGCATCATATGGTTACCAAGCACAGGGGAATAATTACACTGTACAGACATCAGAAAGCTGCTTTTGCCATCACAAGTCGGCGAGGTCCTACTCCAAAAGCTCCAAAAGCACCAATTGCAGATCTCCCCACTGGCAGTAGTGGAAGCATTTCTACAGAGCTTGATGAGGTAAACTTCAAAAACTTGGGTTGGAAATTGCACACTCACCCCTCCCTTCCATTAGTTTGATTTCACTGGATTTGATAGTATTATAATAGGGATGTTCAGGATCTTTTCATGAGAGAACTGAGTTCCCATAAAATTTTGTGATGCAAGCAACATATGTTAGTTGATGTTTTAAAACTTCAGTGTGTCATTAAGAAAATTAGTAATTCCGAAATATTTTACATTTAGAACAGGATATGAATGTCTCAATATAAAATCCATGCAAATAGATTTCCACAAACTGGGCTGTGATTGTGTCCCATTGCCCATGTTAGTGTTGGTCATCTGGATGCACAGAAGAAGCTCTGAAGCATTAAAAAGTCTTTGAAATATGAGTGATTTTTGGATGTACGTGTGACTTCCACACTTGATATGCCAATTTTTTTGTTATTGTTTTATTCATATAAAACTTAGCATGTTTTAGTAAGATCCTAGTCAGGACTCTGATTCTAAACAGTGTTGTAGGTTTTGTTCTTAATTGCTAAAGTGATTTTTACAAATTCCACTTTCTGAAGAGGGTGGGAGCAAGAGAAAGGGCTTAATAACAAATCAAGTGCTACTTTTGTGAAGTCTTGCTAGCATGCTACTGTTCTTAGTGTCCTCTACATTGGCAATATCTGAGGTTCTAGAACTGGAACCAGTTGGAAAACCTCTTACAGAAATAGGCCTGTGTCAGCAAAAACCATATCTCCAAATGTATAGAATTTAAATAATGTGCTATAAAAGACTTCAATTTACCTGTTTGGTTTTTTTTTTTAAAAAAAAACAAACCACAAAAACCAAAAACTTACACAGGAAAAAAATCAACCAGCAGATGTGTCATAGGTAGCTATAAACACAATCAGAATTGAATGCCTGTATAACAGTGGGAGCATTCTTGAAAATAATTGTCATTCTTAAATGTATCTGTCCTCACTACTTTGTTAAATTGCTTAATTCTAGGCTCAGAAACCTTACGTTGTACAGAGAAGAGGAGCTGAATTTGCCTTATCTACTATAGCTAAACATTTTGGTGCTGAAATGGCAACAGGATTGCCACATCTCTGGGATGCTATGGTTGGTTCATTAAGGAACAACATTCACATAAATAATTTTGGTAATTACACTTCTGCTTTAAGCTGGAGGGGCTGTGGTAGGCTGGAGGCAGTTTGCCAGTATTAAACTGGACACCTTTTCTGTCTTTAAACAGACCGAAAGTCCTTACTGGAAAAAGGAGATGCTCCTGCCCAGGAACTAGTAAATTCTTTACAGGTTTTTGAAACCACAGCAGCTTCGATGGATACTCAGCTACATCCTCTGGTAATGATATGAAGCAATTCAGTCTGTTCACTGCTACTGTTTTAAATCTTTGTTTTGTAAGGCTTCTTTTTAGATGTTCCTCTGATTTTGCTTAAATGGTGTTTTTATTGCACTTGCTAGCCTGCCTGTTCTCAAAGTCCTGTATCCTAGTCTTGATAAACTGAAGACATAGCCTTCTATCTTCAGCAGTTAAGCTGTTAAGCTTCAAAGCTGTTTTTCCCCTGTGTCCTATAGAATGTTAAGTTCTATATTTGTTTATGCAGGTAGTACAATAAACCACAAAAGTAAGCACCTACTTACAATTTAGACTTTGCCTACCCTTTTCTGGATGAGATACCCGAACAAGATTGTGTCCAAAGTTTGAGTTATGGTAATGCTTATGCTATTGTGTTACATTGAAATTGACATCTCAGCTCTGCTTTATTCTAATTCCAGATGTCCTAAACCTGAAGAACAGACAGACTCCCTGTGCAGGGAATGCAAAAATTATGGGAGACTTCAATTACTGCCAAGTGGATTGGATTTGAATAATCTTTAAAATTATTTCTTTTTACTCACTGCTCAATGAAAAGACTTAACATCTTATATGCAGTAGCATGCTCTGAACTGGCTATTTCCACTCAGGAGAGATATCCTGGAGTTAGGAGACTTCTGTGAAAGTATCAGCTGAATGTAAAATACTGATTAAAAAACCCAATAGGAAGTTAAGAAAGAAATAGAACAAGGAAGTCACCATTATGCCTGCATCTAAATACAGTTTTAGGTACTAGCCTGTCTCCAGTACTGTAGTTCAGAATAAATGTAGTAGCAGTGGAAGAGGCATAGAGAGGGGCAATGTGATGATAAAAATAGACAGAGGCTCCCATGCAAGGAACGAGTAGGCAATGGCTGTAGAATTCTGAAAAGATGGAAAAGCTTCATATGAAACATACGGAATTTTTTGTTACCTGTTTTAATAAACTACTGAAGTGATTTTGAGTGAATTTAGCATATGACATGGAAATAATTTTTTAAATGTATATAAGTATTTTTAATATATATATCTACATAGTGTATAGCTAATATGTAGATTGGTTTTAGAGTGCTGATACTGTATACAGGTTTCAAAAATTAAAAAAAAACCAAACAAACATAGGAAGTCAAATAGGGTGGAATTGTTTCGTTAAAGCTAATATTTAGGGAATTCCACACTAGGAAAAATGTGACCATCTGTTTAAGATATCTGACATAAAAATATATTTGTGCTGATGGAGAAAAAGGCATGTATGTACACTCGTACCCCCTTGGGAAGATGTGAATTTACTTCTGGATGTGTCTGTTGTCACACAGAGTTAATAAGACTCCCAACATGGATAATTAATCTGCCTAAACATAAGTGGGATGAATCTAGGACAAATTTGCTAGCTGGATGGAATTTTTTAATCTCTGTATCTGCATTCAAGCAATAATTCTTCTTTTTATAGAAAGTTCTGAGTACTTAGTATGGTATTTTTCCAGTGTGAAACACTTCCTTAATTATCAAGGGCTTCTTTAATTTGCATTTTTATTAAAACCCAAAACATTTTGTTACTTTTAATTTTAACTGTATTGGGGAGTAATACTTGTTCAAAGTTCAATTGTCTTTTTCCTCCAAAACAATTTTTTTGTTCTAGACAATTAGATCTTGTGAAGGAGCCATTTCAAATGTTCTTTGGGAGGCAACAGTGACTTCAGAAGACTTTGAAAAGTCTTTTGAAGACAAAATATTGACAAAAGAATTAATTTGTTTATAGTGCACATTAACATTTTTTTCCCCCACTCTCTTCTTCTATTCAGTTAATACAGCATTTGCCTCATCTTTATATGTGCCTTCAACATCCCAGCACTGCAGTGAGACACATGGCTGCTCGTTGTGTAGGTGTCATGAGCAAGATAGCTACCATAGAAACAATGAATATCTTTCTAGAGAAAGTTCTACCGTGGTTGGGAGCAATAGATGACAACACCAAACAAGAAGGTGCAATTGAAGCACTTGCATGTATCCTTGCTTGAGTATTCAAAAATGCAGAAACCTCTTTCCAGTTGCATAATTTGGGGGAACAAAAACTGTTGCCTGAAAAAAATGGGAGGAGAAATTAAGTAAAATGTTAAGCTGTTTCTTAAACCATGGAATTCACTGGTGTCCTGGTTTTTACCTGGAACAGAGCTGGGTTTCTTTTTAGTAGCTAGAATAGTGCTGCGTTTTGCTTTCAGCCTTGTTATGAGAGAAACACTGATAACGCACCAGTGTTTCCATTTCTGTAACTGGAAGTGAAGGACTTTGTGTTCTG